AGGGGTTAAGGGAGTCAGTGAGGATGTGTGTTTTAGAGCAGAAACAGAAGGGAGAAACAGCAGGGGGATCAGCGCAGCCAGCCTGAACTGTAGCCTGTGTGCGTATGCATGTGTGATACGTGCGCATGCATGTGTGATATGTGAGTATGCATGTGTGCACGTGTGCCTGGTTTCTGACAGAGCCCATGCTGAGCTCTGAGCTGTGTTTACTCCTGGACCTGGCTCATCTGCATCCCTCTCCTCCACTCTCTCCCTCTCTTTTTACTCCCACTTCTACCTGCCTCGCTCGTCCTCTCTGCGCCTGTTTGTAGCACATTCCTGTCTGGCTGCCTGTTGGACTCCAGCTGTGAACAAGGCAAACAGAGGGGATGGCAGGCAGTTAATGTAGTCCAGGTAGCTCATAGCTGTCGTGGTTTACGCTTCGTATGTGGAGCTTGTTTTTCCCTTTTCCCTCCTACTGTATAATCCACCATATATAGCTTGATTTTTATTGTTGGGCCATTGCAGCGACGCAGCCCAGGACAGTGACAGCCGCCTACTGACTGATTGACTTGAACCTGATATGAACGGTGTTGCTTGTAGTAACAAACCCACAGAGAATCGTCACCTCAACTCGACTGAACTCGAGCTTTTTGGCATCTTTCAGCTCCTTGTTTCCTGCAGCTTTAATGTTTCGGTTCATTCTAATCTCTCTCATTAATCTTAAATCCACAGTTACACAGTTTTTCTTACATGTGCTGAAACTGACACTAAACAGCTTCTATGAATCAGTTTCTACAACTTTTAACTATTAGGTCCAGACTAATTTGTGCTGTAATAAAACTCTGTTTGCTCTTCCTGCTCGCTCATCACGGTCATGGCTCTGGGTCTTACTTCGTTAATACAGTGCATGTAATCAGTGCGGCGACTGGGGATGGCAAGCAGTAGGTGTAATTTCCGGTAGTAGTCACGACGAGGCTTCCAGGCGGATGAATAAACTCCAAACAAACAAGATACATCATTTAAATAGGAAAGGGCTTACGAGGCTGTCTTATTACGAGGGTGCCTCTGGTTTTTATGCTAAGCTAGGCTAACCGCATTCTGACACAGGGCTGAGATTGATATTGATCTCCTCATCCCGCTGTCGGAAAGAAAGCCAATTAGTGCATTTGCCGACGTGTTGAACAATTCTTTTAGCGGCGGGGGAAGGTCTGAGGAGCTGTGAATGTAAAATGAAGGTGATGAATGAATAAATAAACAACCGTCATAAGGTTTTATGGTCAATACTGTGCAGCTGCAGTTTGGGAGAACGAGCCGGCTGTCTGATGTGAGTGTGAGGTGAGGGAATAACAGCCCTCAGCAGCTGCTTCAAAGACCTATCCAGACACACTTTTTTTGCAGTCTGGCTGAGCGCACGCGCACACACACACACACACACACACGTTCGGTGTAGATCAGCCCTCAGTCACGGCCCTGTGCTGCAGGGAGACTGGAGTGATGGAAGCAATAGTTAAGCCATTAAGGCAAACAATTGGCTCAAATTGAGAGGGAGAGAGAGAAAAGAAGAGGAAGAAGAGGAAAAGAGGGAGGGAGATGGAGAGGCTATGGCAGGAGTGGATCCACTCAACGACTTAATCCGAGCCCCAGGACACTCTCCTGCTGAGCTTCACACACCCGCACAAACATATACACACACACACACACACACTAAAGCTCTGTCTGCTTGCAATAACACCTTGTCAGTCTTGGCCACGGGGGCAATGGAAGAGGCGCTCATTCCTTTGTAGTGAGGAGAGTCACCTACTTCCAACCACCTCAGGAAAAAGACGGAGCATGCAATCTACACAAGACAGCTCTGTAAGTGTTCGTACGCCTTATGGCTGCAAGTGTGAAGCTATTCATTGTCTTAGCGGGCGGAGTGAATGGTGGAGGGAGCACAGGGTGGACAGTGTCCCGGACGAGGGAGGCGCTCCTCTGACACCAGCTATTGTATCGTCTCCCCCGTCGACTCGCTCAATCCCCACAGGCCTCACATAAACATCCAACAATGAGGGATTGTCTCCAGCTATTCTCCCTCTTTCTGCTCTTTCACTTTCACACACACATCAGCTATGTGTGTGTGTGTGTGTGTGTGTGTCAGAGGGCGAAAGGGATGATGTGCAGCAGCCTGAACCCAGCGACCGCCGAGGCTCGTCCGATGCAGTCGCCTTCGCCGTTTATGTGCCTAAACATCAGCCAGTGATAGGGTCACTAACTCCTCGCCGCTGCTGCTGCCGCCGCCGCCGCCGCTGTCACCCTTCCCTCCCTTCCTCCCTTCTTTTCCTCTCCTCCGTCAGCCGCCACCCCTTGGGGCTCCCTCGGTGCCCGGGCCCCCGCAATTTATCGGACAGCTTAGCAAGGAGTGGTTGTTGCCCCGAGGACTGTTAGCACCGGTTTGGCTCGTTGACTCCTTCTCCGGTTCTGGCGTTTTATTTGACATGTCCTTTAAGTCCTTTAAAGAATTGGGCGTTTCTGCTGAGCGCCTTGGCTCTTTCTGCAAAAGATGGATGGCCCGCGTTCAAAGGTCTGGATGTTTTTTTTTTTTTTCCCTCCCTCCCAGTCTCTCTCCATATCTCTCTTCTCCCTCTCCCTCCTTCCTTCTCTCTTTCTCTCTTGCTGAGCTTTATAGGGTGGTATTAGTGTTGTCAGCTAACCAAGCTCGGGATTTGGCTTTGTTTTGTTTTTGCCTCTTAAGATAATGCTCTTTCTCTTTCCTGCCGAGAATAACAAAAGGGAAAGTAGAGCAATAAAACAGCACAGCCATTGACTTTGGTTTCATTAAATTGGTTTTCAGCCATCTTAAATAGACCACAGGCCTTGATGGCATTGATGTGTGTGAGTGTGTGTCTGTGTGTGTATGTGTGTGTGTGTGTGTTTGTAGCCATGTGCGTATGATTGTTCTCCAAACACAGTCACGCTTTGCCTGCCTCACGCGTGCTCGGGTGCCGTTCTCATCTCCGTCAGGCCTCGCTGTTGAAAGCCTTTACTCGCCTTTATTCGTCCAAAAAAGAAAGAAAAGAAAAACAAAAAAAAAAAAGAAAGAAAGAAAGAAAGAAAGCAAGCAAAGAAAAACAGAGACGGAGACGCCGTAGCACGACTTAGCATTCCAAATGCGTGGACAGACGAGTGTGTTTTGTGAAGATAAGTGTTGCACCTCCGCGTTGAAAAGGGTGAAAAGCACTTCACCTCCATTTCGTATGCATTCCAGATGTGGAAATATAACCAGGCTGATCGGCGTGTAAGCATCTGTGTCCTGTTAGAGGGCCTGCAGGTTTACTGTACTGATTCTGTGTCCTAATCCCCCCTCACACACAACCTCACGTTAGCACGCCGCACGCCACTTATCCAGGCGCTCATTCATACATGCAGACACTCTCACGTGCTGTGCGGCGGATGCAGACATACATTACATTCATAAAGTGTCACCACTCCTCATAACTTGTATAGATAGATAGATGATAGATAGATAGATAGATAGATAGATAGATAGATAGATAGATAGATAGATATGTTTCTTTTGTTGTGCTGTAAAATACAAGAGGATGAAATCTGTGTTCAGCTCAGTCCTTCTGTGAGGATTTGCTGACATCCTGAGCAGATCCATCACTGCATCTCAACTATGAAAAATCCACATTTAGGGTCAGAGTGATATGTCAGTTCGCTGATGGGTCGGGTCAGCGTAGGTATATATATATAAATTGCCAGCTTCAGGGATATCAGTCTGTAAAACCTGAACTGAAAGCTGTTCGCCCTGCTCTAAGGAGCTGCTAAGGTACCTGAGAGAATTTTATTAGAGTGGCTCTCGGTGTCTAAAGGCTGTTTCAGAGGCTTTTTCACTGTGTTGTGAATGAAAAAAAATCTGGCACAGCAGCTTTTTTTTTTTTAGCACCTATATCCATTTTGAAGATAGTGGGGTTCCAACTTAAGAAGCCGGGCCTTTCTTCCTTTCATGCTAATTGACTCTGTCCAGAGGAAACCATCTCTTTAAAATTGTCCAATATTTTTACACTTTTCCGTGTTTGAAGTGTTGATCCATAATAAGATTTTAAGAACCAAAAAAACCATCTCAGTGTAGTTTTACATCTCCTCTCTCAGGCTTCTCTCTGGAGCTCTAGTAACAACAGGTCGGTGAGCCAATCAGAAGAGAGGAGGCTCTGAGCCTCTCTTCTAATTGGCTGACTGTTTTCTGAGTGATCCAATAAAAATACAGTAGATTTCAGGTAAAAACACTCAGAGAAAACAAATCCTGTAATGTTGGATGGTGGGTCCAGGTGGGCGGGGCTTGGGGCATGGCTGAGAGTGGTGACTGCTTTGTTGTGACATCACAAAGTTCCAGAAGTCCTGACGGCTGGTTTTAAGGCTCAGTTTCTGAATACAGGCTGTGTGCATTTCTCTGTGGACTGAGGCTTTGATACTTTCACAGTATTAATATAGAAGCTAGAGCTGATCTATAATCACACTACACATGGACAGAGACCTTTAGACTGGAGGAGCTTTAAAAAACCTGTTGGATTGTTTGAAAAATGCTTTGTCAAAGGAAAGTTAGGTTTAAAGATGAATGACGGCGCGTATGTATAGAAACTCAACAACACTAAATCATTAGATAATTAATGTTGACACATGAGAAAAATGACTGTAAACAAGCAGGAGTGTGGTTTGGAGAACAGCAGCTCCTGATGGGAAATTAGCTCGGTTGTGTTATGGCACAAAACTAAACTGCAGGGCGATGCTGTTCTCCCCGTGCAAATGGAGCTTGAATTTTAGAGGTCAAGCTTCAGGTCCAGTTTGTTTGTGTGTCTAAGTGGGATTTACACACACTTAGTAACAATTCCCAAAGCAAAGAAACATTATCTAAAAAGTTTTCACACAATAAGAATGATGAAACCCTGTGCAGAGGGAATTCAAAGAGCTGCCGGTGTCGCTGGTGTAAACGCGGCGTGTTTCTCAGCTCCTAATGTCTCGTCTTCTTCTCTCCTCAACAGCAACGGCACGGCCGGGAAGATGAACGGGGCGCTGGAGCATTCGGATCAGCCAGACCCGGACGCCATCAAGATGTTTGTGGGCCAGATCCCGCGCTCCTGGTCGGAGAAGGAGCTGAAGGAGCTGTTCGAGCCGTACGGAGCCGTCTACCAGATCAACATCCTCCGAGACCGCAGCCAGAACCCTCCACAGAGCAAAGGTACTGAGACACACAGCATCGCAGCGTCTGCAGTCACTACAGGAGGGCGCCTCACTATCTTTCCTGTCCTCTTCTTTCTTTCATTCCTTCCTTCTGTCATTCTTCTACCCGTCCTTTCTCCTTTCCTTTCCATCCTTGTTTCCTTCCCTTTCTCCTTCATCTTTTCTTCTTTTCTCTTTTCTTTGCTTCCTTTCCTTATTTCCTTCTTCATTTCTTTCTGTCTTTGACTTTCTTTTTTCCCGCCTCCTATTCTCCTCTTTTGTTATCTTCTTTTTTCTTCCTTTTCCCACCTTTCTCCATTCTTCTTTTTACTTTGTCTATCTTCTCTCCCTCCTCTTCTTTTCCTTCCTTCTGTCCATTCATCATCTCTTCCTTTCTTCGACCTGAAGGCGTAAAAGCTGTGAACATGGAACTTTGAATGGAGGGATTTTTTTTCCCCACTGTGTTGTTGCTGGTCTGACTTCAGCGAAGGGTTCGAACGCACTCGTACGTTTCGAAACCCACTGACGTGCCGACGTAATGATCCCAGATCCACTTCCACACACACTCAGAGGCAGACGGGCGGCTGAGCGGGGGCCTTCCCACCTAGTTAATGGCAGAACAAATGATATATGTGCAGAATTACAAAAGCAAACACACATTTCGTGCACCATTTGAAGACAAAGACTCGACCTGCCAGACTTACACAGTCAATTGTGCGAAACCGCATGATTTGCAGCTATTTTCTCCCGTTCCCTTTTTCTCTTTCCTTTGATAAATTCGTCAAGTGTGAGAGCAAACAATAGAGACAGCGGCAATGAACGGGCAGACAATAGCGCTGCCATATTAACAGGCATCAACCGGAGTGGGGGCTGATGACACTCCTGATGAGACATGGAGAGTGGGAGGAGGAAAGTAAAGAGAGGGAACCGAGGAGGACGGCAGGAAGGGAGACGTGGCGGCGGCGGCGGCACTTCCATCCAACTGTAAAGCAAATCTAAAGAGAAGTTTTGGAAAGAATGAAAATGTGAATCAGCGGGGATGAAGCGGATAAAACACAAAAACACTCGTCTGCCGGAAAATTGGACTGAATTAAGGATTTATCTTTTTATGGGCCAGTTGATCTTCATTGTGTCTGTCCTGAAAACAAATAGAGGCACCTGGTGATGTTCTAATGGCATCCATCCATCGCCATAGTGAAACCTTATATTCCACAAAATACATTTGAATGCTGCTAATTTGCTTTGTCACATACATTTTGGAGGAAAATGTAATTGCCGCCTGGATTACATTTGCTGAGTGTTTTTTTTTTTTTTTCCAGCCCAGGGAGCGTGACAGTCTTATGCTGCACAGCAGTCGTAATGAGGGGGAGGAGGGGGAGGTGGAGGTGGAGGTCCAGGTGGATGATGTGCAATACTCAAAACACTAGAGACACGGTTCATGTCCCGTGTCCCATGTGTGGTTTGGTTTAAGCTACTAAAACACCTAATTACAGTCGGGGAAACGTCGTGGTTCTGGTTAAATACTGGAAATATCAACGTGTTTCATCTTGTGATTCAAATCAGTTTCGACTTTTTCAGTTGTAGGTCCCATTTTAAACCTTTCTGGGGTTGTATTTAAAGTGTTGATCCATAAGAAGATATATAACCCTCAGAGAAACCAAACCGGGGCTTGGTGACTGCTTCGTTGTGACATCACAAAGTCACAGGAAGTCCTGACGGCTGGTTTTAAGGCTCAGTTTCTGAATACAGGCTGTGTGCATTTCTCTGTGGACTGAGGCTTTGATACTTTCACAGTATTAATACAGAACCTGGACCTGATCTATAATCAAACAACACGTGGACAGAGACTTTTAGATTATATGAGACCAAGTGACCACCATTGACAGATTCATGTATTGATTGACGTGTTGTAGTTGCAAAAAACACAGTTGGTTCCACTGGACTGCTAACTGGGCAAAGTGGGAAACTGCCCATGGGCACCAGATCGCCATGGTTACTGCATGTCAGCTGGTTTTGGTAATTTAGCCGATTGCAAATTTAGTCCCACATTAGGAGCAGTGGTTGGTCTCTTTGTTGTGACATGGAGCTAGCGTGTAATGATCTGCACAGGGAGAAACATATCAGCTGATGCAGATCAGTTGTATATGGATGTAGATTATTTTTTTATTCTTCAGATGAATGTAAGAGCTTTTTCCTGGAGGCAGATGAGGTGACACAGATACTCCATGATGACATGCAGCTGAGATCATGTTTTGGAAGTGAATTTAATTTTCAGTGGCTACAAGGTGTGGTGTCCTTCACCTTCCTGCACCTGTGCACTCCATGGCAGTCTGCTTCTGTTTTTATTTCTTCTCTCACTCTCTGATTTTGTTTTTTATATTTTATTTTTTTTCCCTCCCTGGCTTCTTCTCGTTATGACTGAGTCATACGAGCTTATGAAAGCCTGGAGACAGCGCTCTGCCAAGACCAAAATCACCTCATACTTGCACACCAACACACTTGTCACGGGCTTTGTGTTTGTGTGTTCTTAGCCTTAAGATGACTCCTTCTCTCCCAACTAGTCTCTTTTCCCTCCTCTCTTCCTCTCTGCTGCTTCTGAGGAGGGAGAAAAATAAGGGGCCAAAGTTCCTCCTCCCATCCTCCAGCTCCCTCACATCTCCTGCTCCGTCTTCACTACCCTTGAAGTGAGTTGTTTTTGTGGTTGATGAGTCAAGAGTATCACTCACTGCCACTTCTACTGCAGATACAGAAATACCCAGCCACCCGCCACACCTTTTATTTTTTGTTCTCTCTACATGCCTCACATTTATGCCTCATGTTTTCGGGTCATCCATTCAGTTTCCCCTGAACGTGATATCACAGGAACGCCTTGAGACCTTTCCTTTACATGCGCTTCAAGTGTTCTTTTAGGGGTGAGCAATCTGACTTCTTATAACATGGATGATCTTATTTTGGCACATGACATTAGATAGTTCAATCACTGTGAACCAGCCCATTGTTAACTGTTAAACAGCTAGCCTGCTAACTGCAGCAAGTCGTTCTGCTTGCATCAAAACTGCAGAAAAGAAAACGAGTCACAACTTCCCGTTCAGGACTTTCACAATAAAATCAGAGCGGAACCAGAATGCAGATCACGATAAAGATGGTGGATTGCAATTGTACTCAAAAAGATTGTCATGTGATCTTTTGTGCATCTGTTGTATGAGTCTGGACAGACGTGGGTGTGAGCTGCTACCTGACTCGCTGGCGGAGGAAAACAAACATGAGGTGATAATTCTAGTTCTTGTCGCTCTGCGCTGCGAGGCTGAGCGGCTTCGGAGGAAATGCAGCGTTTGATTGGGCTCTTACTGGCCTTGTTATTTGCTGGCTTTGAGCACTGTTGTTGTTTTCTCATACTTAAGTAAGCCGCCCGGCCTCATCTGCACTCGCTTAACTCGAGTGTGGGGGGCTGCAATAGCCCCCTTCACTGTTGGGCTTGAGCCGACGGTAATTTCACCGGTGTCAGGGAAACTGTGGCACCTCTCCTCCCTCCATGTGTTTATTTTAAATTAGCGACAGAGTTGTTTGAAAAGGATATTGGCCATTTGGGGCAAATGAGCCCACTTTGATGCCCCAGTGGCAACCCTGAGGCACTTTTTCCCTTTTTTTTTTTTATAAAATAGCAGTTTGGATTTAAATGAGTTTGTTAGTCCCACTGAGACGCACAAAAAAAGTTCCATGGCTGCAGCTGCAACTCCAACAACTTCTCTGTTTCCTTCTTTCCTCATTAGCTGACACTCCAGCAACTGCTGGTCCAAAACAGAACATCAACAACAAAAAGAGGAAAACAGCACAACATGGTAAACATTAATTGACAGCGGAAATTTTGGCAAGTACAAGATAACGCCTAAAAGAAATGAACAACTCATAAATGTTTGTGTGTCAGAGCCTGAAACACAGTCTGGCAAATTAAAGTTGGTCGGTGGGTGTACATTTCTTTATGTGGGATGTAAATCAGTAAGAATCACTTCTCTGTTATTGTTCTCTGAGCAGCAGCACGTCTAAGGAAAATGATGCTTTATCAAGAAAGCATTTTAGTCCAAGTTAAATTACAATTTCACACAGGAGAGAAATTAAAGTCAGTTCAGAGGCTTTCAGGTGTGAATGGCGAGAAGTTCAGCCTCTGTGGCCGAAGCTTGTTGAATGCAAAGTGTCGCTGACGGTTGACACGAGTTAAAGATGTACTTTTCTGTCTGTTTGCTGTGCATCATGGCAGTAAGATTCACCAGGCATTCACCACACAGTGTGAGATGCCTCAAAACTGATATTGTGCACCTTAAGTGAAAGCCTCAGTGCAGCCAGGTCCAGGTGAAGTCTCAGGTCTAGACTTAAACCCAGCTCAAGCTCAAGTTTCAAGTCTGAGTCTGGTGCATTAATGTGTTTTTCTAGGCCCACATCAGCTCATTTCATCAGTCTGACCCACAGTTAACACACTAACTTCATTCTTTTTATTGTTAATCCCTGTCCAGTTGGTAAAATACTGTTTTAAAACAGCAATTAGACTCAGGCAGACGCTGGCCCGGGACAGTTATGAATAAATTAATGATTAATTACGGGACGCTGCAGATAAAACCAAGGACTTAACGCTCACTCGGAGCTCTGGCTGAAACACAGTTTCTGCACGTCAAACCGGAGAGTGGATATCTCTGGATCAGTGTAATCCTCCTGTTTTATTATTGTCATCATCTGGCGTCACACGACGGTCCTAAGTGCTGTTCGAGAGGCTTCTTCAGCCCGACAAGAATAAAATTTCTCGAGCGAACACCAGTCATTTTCTGAATGTTTTTGGCCTGAAAGAATCCGAGTATCACATGAGCCTCCAAAAATCCATATGGCAAATACTTTAAATCATCCTTTTAAGCCTGTTTAGTTTAGTTAGAATCCAAAACTTAATCAACCACAGAAAATAATTGGGAAATCAGCTTGTTTTCCTTTAATAAGTTCCCAGATTTGTTGTTTTTTGGGGTTTTTTTTGCCCCT